ACCTCCACCCATAAATATTTTTTCCTTTTCCTACACTTTAGACTAGAATATCTCAATCTCAATCTGATCTAAATCTGTCCTAAGACTAAATCTAAGCTAATTAAATCTCAAATCTAATTGAACTCTGGTTCAGACATGTTCAAAAGCCACTTCTAATCTAATCCAATCATAACTCAATCAAATCCAAACGATCGCCCCCACTTAATTCATTGATTCAAGCTCAACAACATGACTCTAACAATCAATTGTTGGGCTCAACCCTTAGGATTAAAACTTTTGAAATTCAAATCAAGTAAACCTGTCTAATCTTATCTAGTTCATTAAAGTCGTCAAATCTCGCTAATCTTTAAACATTTCATTAATGAATATCAAAGATATAAGATATAACTTTAATCGAGAGTTTGCAACTATATTATCTACAATATGTGACATTATCTATATCATGTGTGGAACATTTTAAAAGATTAATTGAATTATATTGTTTTTTCTTAATTCATGCACATCTCCAATTTATTGGTTGAGAGTTCATGCAGGACAACAAATAGCAACCATAACCATGAACATCAAATCAAGCTTCTCTTCTAACTCAGAGTCTATGCGGCAAAAATAAATTTTCTTTGCATTTAAGATAACATATATCTATATCATGCACACTTATAGAATTTATGTATTAAATAAAGTTTATAAAAAAAAAAGAATATAATGATATACTATTGCAGTCTTTACCTCTAACTTTTCTTTCCACCATTCATCAGGCATATCAATTGTCTTTATTTTTAGGATCCCAAACTTACCCAATAGAACCTTGCTTAAGCTCATTCCATAATATCTAATCCTTTCTTAATTGATCTCATTTATTCTTTAATTGTGATTTGGCGTATTCGCGTTCTATTCGTTCTTCAAAGTCTTGCATTAAATTCTACCAACCTTCATTATTAAAACGAGTTAGTCGATTGTCTAATTCAACTTCCACAAAAAAATGATCTTAACATCTCAATCCAATGTTACATATGCCGCGACCATCTTTTAGTTTTCTCATTTTATGGACTGTTCGAAAATTTCAAGATCATTGTAAGTAACTTCTAATGACTATGCAATTAATTTTATTAAGTAAATAAAAGAAGAAATTTATTGAATAATTTTAATTAACTTCTCAAACAAGTTAAAAAATGCTTTTTGGAAAGCAACGCAGCTTCCAAGCGGGGCCTCAATAGACTTTTTTTTAGGTAAGCTGGAACGATATTTGTATTTTAATATTGATGCCAGGACAAAAAAAAAATATATTATTATTTAACATGAAACAAAAAAAATATTTAGATGCAAAGTAAAGATCATTCGGGGCTCCAATTTCAATAAGTTTCTAGTCAAGCAGACCATCTTGACAAGTCGAACCCGATGATGTCAAAATTAGTCAAATTCAAGTTCAATCAAGTCTGGTTCAAGTCATTAAAGCTCATTTGGAGGCTTTCAGTTATTGATTTAATGTGCAAACAGACTTCAAATTTGACAAATCTATAATCATATCGAGCATCTCCATAAAATAAATTTAGCGAGCTCGAGCCGTTAATTCTGATAAAATCATTAAAAATCTTATAATCAAAAGGGATCGATATGAGTTGTATTATAATGTGGTTGGGAAAATTATTCACCAAAAGACCAAAATGTCCCTCTCTCAAAGGTCTATAAATATACCCCCTCTCTTCACTTGGACATACGAGGAAAATGAGTCGAATTCAATAACGTTATGGACTAAAGACTCGACAATAATCCCGATCTTTGCAGTTGCCAACCAGTATCAATCATTGCTCGTCATACATCGTTGACCATCGTCGGTTGTCCCTTCCCGCTGTTGCTGACAAACTTAGCAAGCTAACAACCTATCATGAATACGGTGTAACAAAGTATCTCAAATATCATATAGCTATGTATCTTGAATATAATGTAACAACATACCTCAAATATAATGTATATGAATAACACCATAATAAAGATTCAAGAATAACTTCAAACAAAAACTGCCTATAATCGTGCTATTCAGAATACAATGACTTCTTTCGGGTTTTTGAAGTTTTCTATACGTCTTATACCCATAAGAATTGTCCATGTTGTAAAATAATAAACTTGAGAGGAGGATTGTTGCCACCAACTTGTGTAGCACCAACTACAAACTCTATGACAAGTAATATTTAAAGTTTCCACTACAGTCTCTGTAGCCAACTAATGTTATTGTAATATTTAACTATGATTTTTATGGCAAACTAATAATATTGCAATCTCTAAGTACAGTATATGTGACCAATTGACGATGTTGCAGTCACCAACTATGATATATGGGACTAATTCACAATATTGTAGTCACCAACAACGACCAATGTAGCTAACTTTCAATATTGTAGTTACCAACATCAATTTATATGGGCAACTGATGATATTGCAGTCACCATCTATTACATATGTGACCAACTAACGATACTGCAACTACCAATTGTAGCCTATGTGATAAATTATGACATATGTGATTAACTACTATTACAACTTCCAACTTTGGCATCTTTGGTCAATTAACACTACTACAACTACGAACTAGGACCTATGTGTTTAATTACAACCTATGTGACTAACTGTTATTACAACTCTCAACAACGGCCTTTGAGGCTAATTGAGACTATTAAGGATTTCAACAAAGACCTTTGTGGCCAATTGATGTTACTACAATTACCAACCATGACATGTGTGACTAATTATTATCACATCTTCCAACTACAACTTCTATGGTCAGTTTGCACTACTACAACTATTAACTATGGCCAATATGACTAACTACAGTCTACGTAGCTAACTATTATTATAGCTACCAACTAAGGGTATAAACGAGTCGAGTCAAGCTTGAGCCACCCCTCGATTTGAGTTTGAGCTTGGTTAATTTTATCAAGTTCGAGCTCGAGCTCAAACTTAAGTTTACGAGTTCAAGCCGCCTCGGCTTGTTTATTAAAAAAGAGAAGAAAATATTAATTTAAGATAGTGTTATAATAAAAAGATAAATAAAATGCTAAATTATGAGAGAAATAATAAGAAATCATTTAATAAAAATATTAAATATTATTATTTTTAAATATTTTTTATACTTTAAAGATAAAGTCTTCAAATTCAATATATTTTGAGTATGTTTTATATTAATATTTTTTAAAACTAGTTGAATCATGAATTAATGAGTTGAGTTAAGGCTAACTTTGGCTTGTCTTTTTAGTTTATAGAGCTCAATTCACGAGTCACTTATTGAGTCGAGCTCGAGCTGGCTCATAAGTAAGCTTGACTCAGTTACACCCCTACTATCAACAATAGCTTATGTGACCAACTATAGCCTATGTAGCTAATTGCTACTGCAACTTTCAAATACAGTCTCTCTGACTAATTGAAGCTACTGCAACTACCAAACATTGTCCATGACTAATTTGGCAAATTATGACCCATGTAGCCTAATTGCTATCACAACTACCAACCACAATCAATGTGATCAAATTTGACCTATGTGACTAACTACTACCACAACTACCAACTACGACATATTGACCATTTACAACCTATATGACTAACTATCACAAGCATGACATATATGACCAACTATGGTCTATGTAGCTAATTATTATTACAATCTCCAACTACGACCTCCATGACCAATTAACGCTTTTTGTCTCCAGTTATGGCTTAAATGTCAAACTGAAGCTATTACAGTATCTAACTACAATCATTGTAGCCAACTGAAATTATAACAATATCTAACTACGACCTTCGTAATCAACTAACACTATTTCAGTCACCAATTATAACATTTGTGACCAACCAACATAAGCACCAACAATTGCTTTTGTCACCAACTAAAACCTATGTGGCTAACTGCTACTACAACTCCAAATACGACCTCTGTGACAAGCTAACAATAATGCAAACACCAACTATGATTTTTGTGATCAACTACTATTGTTACATTCTCGGACTACAACCTTTGTGGTCAACTACTGCTATTGCAACAATCGTCTAAGGCCTTTTGTGGCCAAGTGTTGCTATTATATAGTCAAGAAAAATATATGTTGTAGCTCAATCATATTTATTATTATTTAACTGTTACTGTACGTTTGTGAATATTAACTTTGTAATTTCATATTCTTTAATTCAAGAGAAGAATGAACCTATTTATTCAATAAGCCAGGCCTCATGATTTTTTTAATAGTATTTTTTCTTGTTAAAACTATTAGTATCTCCTCTTGTTACTTCTTAATTATTTGAATGTGTGATGGATCTTCATTCAACGCTAAGACGTTAAATTATCACTCAACTGCCGTGAATCTTCTAACACACAATAACTATCATTTTTAATCCAACTACCTTCTAGATAGATCATACTTTTCATCAGACATTGCAAGCTTTTATTTCAATTCTCTTAACCTCCCAAAAATTAATTTTGATTTAAGTAATACAATATGCTTAGAAACCCTATTTTTCACGTACACCTCTAGAATACTAGAAGTATATGAACTCAATTATACCAATCTTAAGCATACATGAAAACTTATATGTCACTTTTAAAAAGTTAAAATAATAATATTTTTATGTGATATGAAAATTTTGAGCGTCATAAATATAAATAATAAAGTTTAAATGCCAGTCATGTACATACATAAGAATTGGATGCCAAAATATGTACATCTTCCAATTATTAAATATCTTGAACCATATTAATGTCTTAAATTTGGCATTACAAAACACAAACATCAATACAATTTCATTAAAAAAAAGCCCAAACTTTCCATCTACCTCCCACATAAAATTTCCCTTTCAACTATTACCCAAACAAATTATGTTCTTTTTTTAGGCGCCCATCTCAACCCTACAAGCTCATCAATCTTATTAAATTCCCTTCCATCCAAATTCAACCCCACCTCCATTCTTCTTCCTCCCACCAAATTCCACTCTCTAATCCTCATCTCCCTCTCGCTCGCTCGATGGTACGGGGAGGCATCGCCGGAGTCGAGACTGCGGTGGTGGTTGCGGTGGCGGGATTGGTGGTGATTACCCCTCTGCTGTTGGTGGATGGCGGGGAGACCGCGAGAGAGTTCATCGAAGGGCTTTTCGGGCCGATCGGTCTTCTTTTCGTTCCCGTTACCTTGCTCATCTTCATCCAATTCCTGTCGTCTAATCCGGGGGTTCAATTCTCCCGATTCTTATCAGGTTCGCCAGATGTTCTGTCCCAAATCAATGGCCCGTCCACTGGAATTGTGCTTGTTCTGTTCATCGTTCTTCTTCTTCTTTACACTCGTGTTTTTGGGGGCGGCGATTCTGATGATTAGATCTCCCGTTCCGGTCAATTTGTCAGCTCTTGCGTCGTTCTGTTCATATGATTGCTTCAATAGATTTTTACTTTTTTTTTTTCCTCTTCAGCTGAAGATCTTCGTTTTCACGAGAGATTGAATTTGTGTTTTTAATTTTTTTTTTTAGAGAAGTAAATTGTATAATATTTCTTTGAATGAGTAATTGTTGAAATCAATTTCATAAATTTAAGTGTTCATCATTCTTTTGTGGAACAAATGATAATAATTTTTCCTTTTAATCGATTGCAATTTTTTTATCTAAAATTTGGTAATTAATTTCATGTCTACATAATTGCATGTATAACATTCAAATGCTTAGTATTATATCAAAAAAATCAATATTATTAACTTTTAAAAAATTAAAAAAAATTATTGACCGAGTTTATGACTAAAGCAGTCAAAACGGTTCGTTGTTCGTGAACAGCTCGTGTTCGACTCGTCGAGAAGCTCGTGTTCGGCTCGTTCGCTATGTTAAAGATCCGAACACGAACAACACAAACAAATATTTGTTTATATGTGTTCGGCTATATATATATATATATATATATTTGATGAGTAGTATTTTTAAAAAAATTATTTGAGTGCAAAGCTACAAATATTTATAATAAATTAAAAGTATTAATTAAGAAAATAAAATAAAAAAAATTAAATTAGATTCAAATGATGTTTTAAATCTTGCCACAATCCTTAACATCTTATGGCTACGTGATTAGGGTTGTAAAAACAACTATTTGTTCGTGAACGACTCGTGTTCGGCTCGCTAAGCAAACTAGTCGAACACAAACACATATTTTGAGCTCGAAATATGAACTAGCCGAACACGGGCTGAGCCTGAGCTCGCTCGTGTTCCGCTCGTTTACACCCCTATTTATGACGTTAAAATGTTATAAATATAAATATCAATATTTAGAGGTTTTATATATAAATATTTAAGAATTATGTGGCATGTGTGGAAATTTGTCTTAATTTGAATGTCATGATTCATGAACATTGCAAATTAATATGAATAGGAGTAGAGTAATGCCGTTGGGTTTGAATGTCCCAATTTGAAACAGACCATTTCCTCGCATTTAACAAAATTATCCTTATTATTATTAAAAATTAAATACATGCCACTTATTCTTATCGCATTTTTAAAAAAATTATCCTTATTATTTATATAAATTACAAAAATACCGCTGGGTCATATGGCATGAGTTAGAATATACATTTATGATTGGAGACTTCATAAAGGTGTCAGATGAAATGGTGATTCATACAATTGGTTCCATTATTTTAATGATGTGGCATTTACATAAATACCGCCTAGTTCCTAAGTAACTACATATCTAACACCTAAATTTTATTGTTTTATATTTATATCTCAAAAATCTTTCATATCTAGGGGTGCAAACGAGCCAAACATGAGTTTGAGCTCAAAAAATGTGTTCGTGTATGGCTCATTTGCTTAACAGGCCGAACACGAGCTGTTCACGAACAAAGAGCCATTTTGACAACCTTAATCACATAGCCATAAGATGTTAATGATTGAGGCAATATTTAAAACATCATTTGAATCTAATTTAGGAATTTTTATTCTATTTTCTTAATTACTACTTTTAATTGATTATAAATATTTCTAGCTTTGCAGTCAATTAATTTTTTTAAAAATACTACCAATCATATATATATATATATATATATATATATATATGATATATATATATATATATATTTGATTTGTTTATTTCGAGCTAAAACGAGCCGAACATGAACGAACAAATATTTTTCGTGTTAGGCTCGTTAACTTAGCGAACGAGCTGAACACGAGCTTCTTAACAAGCCGAACACGAGCTATTCGCGAACAACGAGCCGTTTCGACAGCCCTATTCATATCACATTAAATCATAAAGAATGTCACCATTTTAACACTTATAAGATAACATACAGCCCTTTATGCATAGATAAAATGGCATGTGTATAAAAATTAAAGGTTTAGTGTTAGATATGTAAATACATATGACTTGAGTGATGTGCATGTATATCTTCCTTTTAATAATTTGCATATATAGACTACTTATGGGTATGGGGATGCCCATTTCTTTGCATGCAAGATCATTTCTTGAATAAATGAATAGCTAATATATATTGACAGCTAATATATATTGACATTTCTAATTTTTTTTTTTTCTAGTCAAGCATAAATTTGACACAAATTTCATATTTCAAGGTGTGCTAATAGAATTTTTGAAAATTAATTTTGAGATTACATTGGTTTCTATTTTATCATATTTATAAATTGAATAGTGTTGTTTTATAAGGTGAAATTAGTGGTATCTAGATTTTTATTTATTTATTTATTTGAGCTAAAATGAATGGGTCTAATTAAGTACTAAAATAATTGTCATTATTTGAAAACTTTGTATGCTTGTGGTAAAGAACATAATTCTTGACCAAATAAATATAAAAAATAAGGTTTTTAAGTTTAGGTTTATTAAAACATTAAAACAATAAATAAATAAGGGCTTTTTTTGTCCAATAGTGGATATTGCCTTTGCATATGATTGTTTAAGATATCTCCTAATCTTTTTTTTTTAATAGTTTTCATTTGTATAGATTTAGGAAAAAACAATTGGTGGAAATAATACCCAAACTTAAAGGAAACTACTCAAGTTATTGTCTGATGTTGATCGTCAACCAATACTTATGATGGTCGTCACCACCAACTGATATAGTCCATCAACCATGTTGGAGATCAACATCACCGCCATGTGATGATATTTAATTATCAATAATTAATGTCTGAGAGTCATTGACATCTGATACAAGCCGTATTAGTCTATTTGTCTCTTCTCTTATAATGAGGCGTTATGCTAACCTTCTGAGAACTTCTAACATTTGATATTCTTTATTGGTCATCTAACATTTGATGCTTATAATTGGTGCCTGACACCTGCATTTATTGACTTTTGATATCATTTTTTTTTTAATTTTATGATTTTATCTTATGTAAGGAAAGTGACCAAGTTGAATATTCAAGGAGGATAATGGTCCACACCCATCGACATCTATGCATGACAAAATTTCTTAACTTAAAAGATTTAAGAGATAGTATGAGTTCAAGTGTTTATATGAAAGGGTTGGAGAGAAAAATGAGAGAGAGATAAAGAGAGAGAAAGGGTGAAAAACATTATGTTCTAGTTACTTTACTAGAAGATTGAAAGAGAAAAACAAAATATATAGGCATGATAAAAACGTTATTATGGTTTAACCTGTAGATCCACATTCACTTTGAGGGAAAATATAAAAAGTTTTTCATTATGTATATTTATTAATATTATAGAGCGTAAAACATTTATAAAACTTTCTTTAGAACATTAAAATAGGAATTCATGCTTGGATATTTTAGGATAGACTTGCTGAAAAGTTCTAATAGTTTGCATGAGAACAATCAATAAGATCATCAATGGTGGAGGCAATTAAAGATTGGTTGATTACAAGAGAGGACTCCCCCTCCATCCCTAATGATATAACAAATCACATGTGAAAGTTATATGGATTAAGAGATTGTGCCAATGAGCATAGGAAATCCCTTTCAAAAATTTAGGATCAAATGTAATTGTTAAACTTTGATGAGCTAGAGTTATAGCGAATGATGAAGAGGAGTCTATTGAGAATGAGATCTTCATCATTGTTTACCTCAAGTATTTACATTCTAACATACAAAAAATCTAAATAATGTTGGGTCCCTGCACGAACTTGATAGACATAGCCCAATAGACGATGGGTTATGACAGGGGCAAAATGACGATGGATGTGGTTAAATAAAATTTTGAGTTAATTGTGGTTGCAATTTGAGAACTTCACATTGTTTGATATCTTTTTTGAACTTTTAATATGATTTAGAAAATTAAGGCCTATTGTATAATTCATGAGATTTGTCTTAGGCATTTTTATAAAAAATTTTCAAATATATACAACATAATATGGTTTAGATTGCGTAGTGTTTTGATTAAGCAGTTAGTCGAATGATTCCATCCATGAGATGATTTGATGGTCTCACATAAGCTACGAACACTCTATGTAGTCAAGGGTTGATTGTTGCTATCAGAGGTGATATCATTAATTGTTGTGTTTTTGGTTCTGTTGAACTCTAAGTCACCAGCTCGTCTGATTATCATCTTATAATTATCTTTTTTAAATAGTCATCTTCCTTGAACCATCGAGATGATTCAGAGAAAGAGGAGAACTCGGAAGAGGATAAAATAAGATGGAACCAAGCAGACAATTAAGTTAACAAGTAAATGGAGAACTTACGTAAGGTTATCCTCAAGCGATAAGTCAAGAGTGTATGTCGAAAACGAGATCGGATCAAAACACCTCGAAGCACATATCCACAAAAAATCTTTTAATAAGAAACTCATATAACCAAAGAACTAAAATTCATATTTTATTTTGGGAATAGGAGAAACTCCCAAAAAAACATCTTCCTTTAGTTAATTACATCTTGGGAGATACCCAAGAAAACTCTTGATGCTATGAATCCTACTTATAATTTGCGTAACTAGTGAAATAAGTATATTAAAGGAACATGGTTATCTCAACTAGGAGCATCTCGTCACTTCCAAAACCTATATTGAACCAAGGGAGGAGGGTGAATCCCTCACATTTGCAAGTGGTCGGTGGCCTATTGACAAAGAAGGCCTAAGAAATAATTGTCTTCTCGATAGAAACATTCATGTGCTTCAATGCCTATCAGGTCATATGAGTAAAGAGTGAATCACTATATCCCAAATGAGTGACGAATTATCAGCAATCAAGGCCCATGAGATGACATCAATGAGATATCAAAAGGGAGACTGGCTCAAAGGGGGTTGTTAATAAAAGAGTAGGAAATCCTAATTGAGTAAAGATAGTTGGATCGGGATTCTATGGATTTGACATCCTAAGCTATTAAGAGCCTAGGTTTACCTGACCATGAAGGTAGTTGATCTAGCTTG